TTTCAATTGGACAGAAACTTGGAATCATGCAACTTGTAGTGTGTGATGAATGAGAACTTTTGTCTTTGGGAAATTAAGACTAATTCCTTGACCACATATATATGTGAGTCAAGTGAAGGACTAAGGGATCGAGTACACATTTTTGTGCACTGGTCAAGGTTATTTCGTCATGATTTACTAAAGTTTAGTAAATATGGTTATGCTTACAAGTTTAAGTAAAATTTTGAATATTGGAAAAGTTTTAGTGTATGGAAGAACGAATGAGAAGAATCAACTTAGGCAGAAAGATAAAAGTTTTTCCAATCTGAAAACATAGGAGAGTACTATAGTATCGTTTTTTATGATCATCTTAAAAAAATATGAGAAACCATATCACAATTGATCCTCTAAGGACATCTTAGGGCATTCTTATGGCTAAGAAGAGGAATCATGAATTGATGAAATGGTTAAAACAATAAGACGAGTCATACTTCGTTCCATAACAAGTCTTGGAGCCATACTCCAAGATTGTAAGTTGAGTGACATAATCTTAAGAAAGGTTTAAAAAACTTATCAAATGTAGAGTAAAAGTTTTCTGCTCTTGTACATTTGAAATTGGCAAGTTGTGATGTTTTGGATAAAACAAAGATAAACTAAGACCAATTGTGTAAAGTGTCTTTCTTGTTAAGAATCCGCACTAACTCTTGGTTATTTGTTTGTCAAGGAATGGTTCTTGACAAAGTGAATCTTATATGTCAAGAGATCAGTAGGAGTCTTAAAGATATTGAAAGTTTCAAGAAATAATCAAGAATAAACCTATTATTAAACTCTATCACACGACTTGAGGTTTGTAACCTATCGTGTTGACATATTCTTGTTTCTGTGTCCATTCCAGTTAAAGTTGACTATGCATGTGAGTTCTATGAGTTCTCAATTGTTTGGATAACAACTTGGAAGCAATGGTAGGCCCTTGTGCTACCAAGTCACAAGAAATTAAGATTGGAGAAGTTCAGTCCATTTGAGTTTGGATTTGTCACTAACCTTGACTTGTGATTATGACAAAATTCATATGGATAGGAACACATATACCATAAAATCTAAGTGTCATAAGGTTTCTCTTCGATTCGTGAAAATGATGGTGAGGAAACACTTTCACTAAATAGATTTTCAGGAGATAGCAGATGTGATATTTGCATTCTCAAATTTGATTATGATTATGACATCCCTTTTCATAATTTAAATTGTGAGGAATGGAAAAAGGTCTAAACATTTGAGACTTATTGTTGTAGGTTCTAAAATTGTTTAGACACATATGTGAGCTATCTAAGAAAAGGTGTATGATTTTGAGAAGCTTAGATAAAGTCTTATCGAAGCATCTCGTATCAAAAATCTAAACTTTGCTAAGAAATTCAATAAGTATTGATTTCTAGAAGTCCAGCTGATTTCTGAATACATGTCAAAGGTACTGGGAGCATAAGTGTTATGCTAGTAAGATAATAATTATTATGCTAGTGGGAGCATAATTATTATAAGTATTGTGAATTAGCAATGTTAATTATAGAAAACAAAAGTTTCAATTAGCAAAGTTGTGGTTTTGAAAAGTTGTTTTTTTATAATTAAGGGTGAGGAATACATACTTCATCTCAAATCTAAAAGCTTAGATTGACTTTTTTAATCAAATTTAGTCAAATATATATATGAATGTTATGTTGGAATAGTTCAACATAAGGAAATTCTATATATGGAGAGGTTAATTGCGTTCTCAAAATTTGGTTATGATTACGACATACCTCTTCATAATCAAAATTATGAGAACATGGAAAATAAAAAATATTGTAGCAAAAGACTGATCAAGTATGTGAATCGTATCCCATATGCTTCGTGTATTGGATCGATTGCATATGCTATAGCATTCTTGTGTTCAAAATTTTCTAAATGACTAGGGCATTAAGAAGGAAAAAGGAATAGAACTGGATATCACTAAAGTGGTTAAACAACTGTTAAGGACAATATAAGGTTCGCTAAGGATTGGTCACTTAAGGAGAGTTGGAAGTATAGTAATGAATGGACCATATTGACATTATTATGAATAGACAAGAGTCTATTAATAATGAATTGTCGTATGGAAAATATGGAATGTTTCCATATTGGGAGTTGAAGAATAGATGAGAAATTTAGAAACTTTTATGCAAGAAGGAGGTTCAAAGGAATGTACTTTGAATTTGAGACTTCATTTCCATGGAATTGTCCTGTAACAATCTCCAAAGGAATATTTTGTAATATCATTGGTCAATTCTCTATGACTTTTGGTACCTAGACATTGCAAAAGAATCATTTCATGATAGTTTAGAATCTAACACTTTCTAGCAGTGCCAAGAATTTGGAATTGTTACACTTGCAATAAGAATTTGGAATTGTGGAATGAGCATCATTGAAATGTTTTTCAATTGATCTATTTAACAAAGTAAGGACCACAGACAAACATAGTGTGGATGCTTGGAGGATGTCATAACTATTGTTTAGACAAACATAGTGTGCATGCTTGGAGTATGGCATAACTATTGTTTTAATTCAAGTATTAAGTTATTTTTCGAAACATTATACAATGTGTAATAAGTAATCAATATGACTCAAAAGTTTTGGGGCCATATAGGATTAGTATTATTCTTGTGTTTCACTTTGCATGTTTTGACTTCCCGAATAACTAGGTTATTCAAACCATTCACAGTCGATCCAACTTTGGAAGTAGGTATTAAGGCAAGACTATCATGAACGGGTCTATAGTTTGTCTGGGACAATGTGGCTGCAGTGTTCATGAGTACTCCTGGAATAAGATTCGAGTATTGGATTCAACCCACACTTATTGGAATCACTTCATGGATTTTAGCACGAGTGATCATGAGACGATAATATCATATATTCTTCAAACAAAGACATTTGATTTGTAGTTGCAAGTCGGTTGCACATTGACATATGTAAATACGCATGTAACTTGCTGTTATAAAACATATCATTGTATATAATTTGATGACTAAGTACAAGCGAGCATTTGGGTCAAAGTTCCTTTTACCCCATGTGGATAAACACGATATCTGTAGGCCCTTCGATGAATTAGTGATGACACCCCTAAGTGATTGGCGAAGCCTGGACTGATTTGATTTGTTTAATTATTCGGTCGTTATAAACCGAAAATCGGGAAAAACAAATGGATAGAGAGAATGATTATAATCCATGTCTCAGTCCATATGCTATCTAGAATGGAGGAATATATGATCCCTTATCTAATGGACACGCCATTGACTAGTTATTAGACTTAAGAGCTACGATTGCTAGTCGGGTTGGAGTCATGCTTGCAATAATAGTTATTAGACTTATCCAAGTGGGAGATTGTTGGATTAGGTTTCTAAGCCCATAACTATTATTGGTATGTACTTGAACTGGGAGTAGCATGGTCCATTTGGGTTGCATGGCATCGGAACAATTTGGATAAACTTTTGTGAAACACGATATTTATGATTTATTAATATATTATAAGTTATAATATATTAATATGAAATCATATTATTTATTAGTATTGACCGAGAATTAGTTTGGAATTAATTTTGTGATCAAAAGACACCAATTAAATAAATGGGGATTGATTTGGTAAATCATTCATTCTTATATAGTGGGCTTATGATCCATAGTTCCCCATGTTGGGCTAAATCCATGTGGTGACCCTTGGATACTCCATGGAGGTTAAAACCCATGGTTCATGAGGAATATGGAAAGTCATGAGTTACATGGTGTAACCCTAATGTGCACACCATATAAGAAGCCTCATAGCTCATAAAATTGACACTAATTTGTAACTAGTGATAGACACATGAGGGCTAGCCGATTTTGAATGTATATAATCTTCTCTCAAGTTATTTCAATTGTTGGTGGTATTGTGCAAACCATTTGAGGTGCAAAACTTGGGGTACTAAGCTCTTTAAGGTCCAAGGAATCAAGCTACAAGAAAAGGTATGTCATTCAAATATATTTTATATTGTATATACTCAATAATATGCTAGTTAGGATGATACCTTGGATAATTGATATTTTCATGTTTAATAGAGATAACATAGATCCAAGATATACAGGGTTGCATGTACACCATAAGAGTGTTAGAATGCTCAAAACCCATCAGATCCCTTGGTTTTATACCCACTTTTTGGGTTTTTAGTTACTTTTTATGTTCAACTATAAACTCTGGCGTTCGTACTCTAGCAAAAAGTTGGGGAATTCATTGGTTGACCTTTGAACAAGATACTCCAAAGAAGAATTGGCAGGGGTAATGGCTTTGGGTTAACTGAAACCTTATGGGGCATGAGTGTTACACAACCCAAGACGTTCCTAACCGTCTTCTTAAGCTATCGGGAGTAACTTAACTCTTGGAAAACGCCTAAGAAGCACCATCACTATCATTAAAGAGAACTGGGAGGATTTCATCCTTGTCGTGGCCGGTATGAGTGGTGCCTGGAGGGCTCATGGGAAGATGGCATAACTGTTCGTCGTGAGATGTGGTGTTTACTCTTTTTGTCCTCCCCCCCCTTTTTTTAAAGATAAAAGAGGGTTAGAACATGGTATCTTATTGGTTTTTGAGTTTTTATATTCGACGTTTGTTTTAAAGTTGCTGAAGTCGAAATTTCTTTAAAGATGGCCCTGCGTGGTCACTGTCGGGGTAAGCTTTGCTACCAGGAGATTGATCTGGTGGATGCTCTTCCCCTCCTGTGTCTAAAAAGAACATGAGGGAGTTTGTTGGGTTACTCTCGGCATAAGAGGGAAATGTTGGCTCCAACGGACCCGCCTCGCCTTCCCAGCCGACTGTTAGGGTCATTTCCCCAGTTCGTTTGTCAGTTACGGGTTCTTTCGGTTTGTCTGTGGGGGTAGAAGCAAAAAAAGGTACTGCCCGCATTAGGAAGAGACGAAGTTTATGGTTGGTGCCACTGTCGGACGAGGAGGCTGAATCCGATGATGCGGGCCTCCACCCTCGCAAGATGCATAAGACAGTGTATGTGGCCAAGTTTCTTGGTGGCATCGACGATGTTGTTGGTGATATGTTTTCTGTGACTGGGCAGAAGGAGAGAGTGGCGGTGGCTAGTTCTTCGATGACACCACCTTCACCATTTCTTATTTCATTCCCGACCGATTTTGGTTCCGGCTTTGTGTTTGGGGATGTATCGGGCTCACTTGGAGGTTCTTCCCAGCCGGAGAGGCCTACCACAGTGGGTGAAGCGGGAACTACTTTTCACTCCTTGTTTTTTGAAGCATATGCTCCAGGCTGGGTGATTACAAGGAATTCCTTACAGTCGAAAGACATCACCGCCTAGGAACGGAGTAGCTGTGCTCACCCCCCAACTACAATGAGGTTGCTTGTGGACCAATCAAGTGCCCGTATGGTCGGTGACCTTCGTTATGCCACATCTTAGGCTTCTACCCTTATGGTTGATGTCGTCGACTTGGTTTGCCGAGCCGACATGAATGAAACACATTTAAAAAGTTTTCAAGGCGTAGTGGCAAACAAAAAGGAGGAATTTTGTGATTCAAAGGCTGAGCGTCAAGTACTTTCAGAGCAAAATTCCTTTGTGGGCTGTGAGAAGGCCATTTTTGAAGATCATGTGGCCACTTTGGAGGGTCAAACAGAGGTACTCGAAAGTCAAGTGAGAGCTCTTACGTGGGAGAAAGGTATAGTAGCAAGTGAGTTGGCTAAGTGCCAATGTCAGTTGGCCCGTACCCATGTTAATGGTGTTGTTGCCCGAGGCTGTTTTGCAATGGATGCTGGAGAAGGCGGTGGTTTGCGTAATTAATAAAGTTATCAAGAGCATGGAATTTGCTGGCGGAATCCAGGGTGTTCGTAGGGTGTGTGAGGCCCTTGGGTTTAAGAAGGGGAAGAAACTACGTAGTTGTTTCGCAATGTCTGGGCAATCTGAAACCCCAAATCCTGGTTGTGTCGCGAGAAGAACCGAAGATGTGGATATTTCTCTTTCGTCCCATGCTAAGACGTATTTTGCAGGCCTCTTTTACTTGGGGGAACTAGATTATGACAGCTTCCTCTAGTTTTGTTGCACGTCGGGCTCGGGAGGTTCTTCTTCAGACTCTAATGACTGATTTGTGTGTGTCCTTTCTGTTTACTCTGTAATGTAGTTGCATTTCTATGTATTATATGTATAGTGAAAAACATTGGTTTGTAATAACCAGGCACTGTATATTTTGTTTTGTATCGGAATGTTCTTTCTCCTTTTTTTTTTGATATGTATATACATATTTTGAATTGTCCTGTGGTATCTTTAATGACGGTCTATTCGACATTTCTGTTGTAACTCTTTTCCACACATTCCCTTGTTCTAGGGTTTATGTTAATTGGTTAATGTGTACTTTAAACATCGTATAATCGCTACTACTGACTTGTGTTTCACCAATTTGTATGTTCTAATCAGGCTTTTTTTTTTGTGTTAAGTCAGGAAAAGTTGGTCATTTTTCTTGACTATAATTTGAGGTTTAACTACCTGTATGCGGGCCGAAATCGTCACCTCAAGGCCTTTTACAGTTCACTTATCAGGGGAAAGGGTATAAATCTTTTAGAATCCCATTTTCTGTGCCACTAATTGGGATTTATACATTCTCAGCTCTGAGATGTTATTGACACATTGTAGGTAAAGATTATGACTCTTTTAAGACCTATGGTTGCATCCTTGCATAGATTTTGCTCAAGTAGCGTAGGTGATCAGCCTGTGTTACTACTTGGAAAATATGCACAACCTCTATACTTTTTTTCTTTCAATTGATTAAACAATATTCTTGAAAGCTCTTTCAAAATGCAAATTATATTATCTCTAGGAAAAAAGACATGAAACACTAGACCCTAAATGTCTAAGTATCAGGGCGTGTGCCCGGTCATCACTTTGGCACCTGGAGTATGGTTATCCTGTGCGAACTTTGACCATACTCCTTTTTCTCAGCCTCTGCATTATTTTTGATGGAGTGTTCTACTATGACTTCCATGTAGAGGTTGTGTCGTTTTTCCTCATTTGCTGTTAATGTTTCTCGAGAGGTTGAGGTTTCCTTTTGTTTCCACCATCGGTGCTTAGCACGAGAGAGTTGACTTTTGTTTTTGATGCCCTGTCGGGGCTTGCACTTTCCCTTATTCTCGACCCGATGCATGCTGCAACTGTTGGAATTGCCTCCCCGTGACTTGACGAGAGTTCCATCCGTGCTAACCTGCGCGCCTATTAACTTCACGTTTCACACTGTCGTTGGGGGTATCATTTAGCTCATGAGAGGCTCTTTTTGGTTTTCATCTATGGGAAGGCTTTCATGCTAGAATGAGTGGTGCTTTGCCTCTAGTGTTGGTGCTCATGGTGCTTATCTCCATTGCTCCATGGTATTTTGGTTCATGTTCGACATTAGCCAAGGTGTGCTTTAGGTCCTAAATCTCCCTTTGATTGGGCGTGGCACGACCATCGATTGTGGGCCAGGTCGGCGCCCTTGCTTGCGAGTAGGCACTTGTTTGGCTTGTGATTTTTGCTTTATGCTCTGGCTGATCCATCCTTAGGTCCCACTTATTTCCTTTTGTGGGAGAAGTGTTGAGAGCTGACTGAACACATATAGTTGCCATTTCCTGGACTCATGGGTCAACATTTTTGTTGTTTCAGGTCTCCGCTGTGGATCTTCCACCTTTTGGGAACTTTTGCTTCGACGCAATTGGGTTCCTTGCTTCGTTTCTCTTTTGGCATCGCATCCATTATCTAGCTTGGTTGCCACTATCATTGCTGATCTGTCACTCGTGATGAATTTGAGAATACCGTGGAGGGTAGAGGGAATTGCTTGTAGTTGGAAAAGTGCTGGTCGGCATAGGAAAATATTGTGTCCGGTCGGCCGGTCGACAACTGAGAATTCGAGCACCCTTGTTATATGTTTTTCCCTATCATGGCTGATTAATGTAAATGATAGGTTGACCATTCCTGTTGGCCAGATTTCATGACCGGTGAACGCGACTAACGGACCCTGACGTGGTGGTTGTAGGTGCTTTTTCCATTTAATTGGTAACAGTCGAAGGCAATGTTCATAAATCATGTTCACCCTGCTTTCGTTCTCAATATACACTTGTTCAACATGGTTTTGGATAATGAAGCCAACAATGTGCAATGGGTCATTTGGGTCACAGTGTTCTGGCCTGGGGTCATTCATTGAAAATGCTATGTTGAGTACGTTTTGATGGTATACTATCACACCCATGTGCTGGCCCTGGTCATTATTGCATGGACGGAGCACGGTGATGGTAAGTATCTCTAACCTCTGGTCATGGTATTTTCCCCCATCCTTTTGGTTTCTAGGCTTGTGTTTATCATCGTTAAATTTTTCCCGGAGCTCTTTCGTTATGTCAAAGATGTTTCCAACTAGTTGCTTCTCATCAATCTCCCGTTTCAGTACCGTGCATGCATTGGTATCACAAGTTTTTCTTATGATTGTATTCAGATAACTTGGTCTTTGTCCTTGCTCTCCTTTGATGGAGTTTTGTTGATTGCATGGATGTCGTTGTGAGCACTCCTGTTGCCATCTGTGTTGAATGGTCGATATCTCATCGAAACGTTCATGGAGTAACGATTGTGTCGTTGTTGGTTGCCATCTCGCATCTCTTGCTGGGCTGAGCTCAGCTGGACGCTGCTTCCTCCTGCTTGATGTATGCATTGTCCACAACTTTGAGATTGGCCTCCTTTCGCTCTTCCCCCTCGATCTGTCTCAAGTATTTTTTCCACACGGAAATTAAGTTCATCCCTAGATCTAGGAACGTTTCCTTGAATTTTCCTTGATAGGGGCCCAAGGACCAGACCTTAGGCGAAGGCACCTATTACTAGGAAATCTTCATGTCCTGGGACATTCAAGGTAGCTAGCGTGAATCAGTCGTAATAGTCGCGGATCGAATCTCCTTCTTTTTGCTTATACGCTATCACAGAGTTGGTGTCCCCTTTTTCTTTCCTTATTTGCATGAAGTTGTTGAGGAAAAGATATTTCAGTTACTCAAAACTCGAGATACTACCCGACCTTAGAGACTTGAACCACTTTCCTGCGTTTCCTGTTAAGGTGTAGGTGAAGCGACAATTCATCATAAGAGATGTCATCGTCCATTCGTAGTTATCAATGTGGGCATCTGGGTTTGTAGTGCCGTCGTACTTTAGCATGTTTGGTATCATCACGGTGTGCAGGATCTCATACTGTAGCAGTTCATGGCTGAAGTTGGAGCGTATGCTTCGCATGGGGTTGTCCTTGTATGAGTATGACATACCGCCATAAGCCATGTATTGTTGTATATGGTAGGGGCTCACATACATTTGGTTATGCATGGCCACCGGGGAGATATACGGGTTAAAATGATGTATGTTTGGTGGAAATCCAAATTGTTGGATTGTATATTGTCATGCCAAGGAGCTATATATGGGCTTGCTCTTGTGTACTGTGGCGTGTACGGATAGAACAGTTGAGCGGCTATCATGATGGGGTTGAATTCAAAGGCTGCTGAGAACTGAACACTGGGCCCATAGGAACTGGATCCTTGATTGGTCGAGGTCTGTGAACTTGTGACTTGTGGCTGAGACAGTGTAAGGGTTGATCCTGGGTTCTATTATACAAATGGGTTGAAGATTGGTGGTTGTTGTACGAACAATGAAATATGAGACGATCCTGCCATGGTTGCGTGTGGATAGGCCATCAGGGAATATTGTGGCTATGGCTGCATATTGTGAGGGATCCAGGATCCGGTGCTGGAAGTTTGCGGGAAGGATTTTTGCTACGAAATAGGGATGTCTTTTTTTGTTGCGTTGCGATAATCTGTGGAGTTTTTGTCACAATTGCCACTTGTGGAACTGGATTGGCTGTTGGACGCCATATATTGGCTATGTAAGTTGCCACCGTTTCAGTTGCAGAACTGGACAGTGTCTGTGAGACTGGTGTGCGGTTTGAAGAGCGTTCTTCCTGAACGGAGGTTTTCCCTACATCTAGTGAATGCATTGGACGCAACAGACTTCTCTCCAATGTTCCTGATGCCACTGGGACGTCGCCTGCCATCGTTGCTATCTGGGTTTGCTTCGTGGATGTATTGTACTAGAGATACGCCTGGATGGCACCAAATGTTGTGATATGCCCAAGATGGTTAGGTTGAAATTATTCATGATCGTTAGTCGACGTCTGAGAGGAATTCCCGGGACGAAGCTCCAACGATCAAGTTAGTATGAGCTCTGAGAGAAATAAGAGTAAATCACAGAAAAAAGAGTTTTCCCCCTTCTTCGTGAGGAAGAAGGATCATTTTATATCTATTTAAGAGGCGTGTTCCCCTTAACCGGTTCTGGGGTGCGACATGGTAGACCCATATTGGAGGGTCCTCTGTCACGTGTTTTTGCCTCATCCCCTCATTGGCTATAGGGGGATCTTTTAACTATTTTGAGGATCGTCGCTATCATCAGATGGGCAAGTGGAACTCTCTGATTGGTCCCACGTTTGTCGGGGTGTAATTCCTTGGTGAAGGGGTTAAGGTGAGGTTTTGCACCTTAACTGCCATACCTATAATCTCCACATTGGCGAAAGCCCGACCTTGGCTTCGGACTGGGTCCGATTGGGTTCTGACCAGGCCAATCCCGATGTTAGTTTGACTTATCCTTTTTTGACGTTCTCCCTGAGGGATACGTTAACAATATTGTGTTAGTTAATGTTTAATCGAAAAAACTGTACAAATGGTCATTGTGGTTAGTTGAAAATTGTCATTTGTTCCAAACAAATTTGGATTAACCCCAGAGGTCAAAACTTTTCATTCTGTTATGAGTTCGGTCAAATTTGCTTTGAACTTATTTTAATTACGATTTTGCCCTTGCTTATTTTCTCTTTTCAACTGTTGTTATTTATTTAAATACTTTTATGAGTAAAAGAAAATATTACCCCTACCTCATTCTCTCTCTCTCTCTCTCTCTCTCTCTCTCTCTCTCTCTCTCTCTCTCTCTCTCTCTCTCTCTTCCAATGTAAAAGACCACCACCACCAGTTAACATCATCGCCGCCACCAACATCGATCGTCGACACTAATGCTTCCTTTGTAACCTTAATCATTGGAAACTTCAGTCGTCGGAAACGAACCCCCCCCCCCCCCCCATCTATCTGTCTGTCTATCTCTCTCTCTCTATGTATATATATATATATATATATATATATATATATATATATATATATATATATATATATATATATATATATAAACACACAGATGAATATCAGAAATCTAACATACAAGAACACCTTAAAAAAACCCATAAATGATTAAATATAGATGAAACTAGAAAAATTAAACACGTGTATAATGATTAAACACAGACAAGACCAAACACATAAATCTATTTTTTCAACTTTTGTTATTTTTTTAAATACCTGATCCAACACACAACACTCGATGAAGCAACATCATTTTTAAGCCATATGTTTTTCGAAGATGAGTTTTGAATCTTCATGTCTGGGGCTCAGAGCAAAAAACGAGGGTGAACAAATCTGAAAAGCAAGGGTTTCAAAAAAAAAACTATAGGAGGGTTTTTGAAAATGCTGGTACCTCACCGAAGAAAGAGAGAGACATGTGGCTGAAACCCGAAATAGCATCAGATATCTCACCAGATTTGTTCAAATTCAAATTCAAAAAAAAAAGGTGACCATAGATATTCATGTTTAAGTTGTTATACAATGCTTTTCAAATCCTAAGCGATGGACCCTGAACCCCTACAATGTTGTTTAAACCGTTGTGCTGACCGATCATGAGCCCTTTTGTCGCCACCTCTACTAATCTTAGGTATCTCGCTAGATTTGTTCGTCTCCATGCTAGTCGGATCGTCAGCGTCATTAAAGAAGTGGAAATTTTCTGAACATAGATGTCGTCGGAAAACCGATAGATCTCGCCGGTCTCGAGGATGGTGGATTTACTTTGTTGTAATAAAAGATAAATAATAAATAAAACAATAAGGAGCTAATTTGTGTTTATAAAAGTTTCACACAATTTTGAACCAAACTTGCAACAAAATAAAAAATTTAGATATCTGGTATTAGTTCAAACATTTTTAAATAAAATTGGCAATTTTCAGTTAATCACTAGGATTATATGTACAATTTTATCTTTTAAATATAAAACTTAACTTTAAATGTCAAAATAACAAAAAAAAAAAAAAAAAAAAAAAAAAAAAAAAGTTTATCAAAAACTATTTTTTTCATAATTTTTTTTTTTTTGAAAAACGATAGTTTCATGAAAATTTAAGAATAATAAAATTCAAATATAAAAATGACAATAACCAAGAATAACACCAAAACTAAAAAGTAAAGATGAGATAAAAGTAAGAATATATATATAAAACCAGTTCACTACCCTAATATTAAGCCTCACAAGATAGTGGGTAATGTATTACTAGTACCATGTTGAAAAAGGGATATCTGAAAATTTGGGAAAGTGAATATTAATATCAGAATCCGTATTTGAAATTTTGGATACGGATTTAGATATTATTTTAGATATCTGAAATTTTGATTTTTTTTTCAATTTATCTATAAAATTAATAGCATTTATCCAATAACTATATTAAAAATAAATTTTTTATATTAAAACATTTAAAAAGTGGATATTTGGGTTAATATTTGTGTAAAGTAAAAATAGAGAAAAAAAATCGATAAAATGGTAGCTTTTTCTTATTACGTTTCAGTGCCCTTAAAATTTCTAAAAACACATTATTGTGTTAGGAGATTCCTTTATACTGGCATCATGTATGTTATATATGAAACACTAAAAAAAATAACAGTTACTTGTTCTTAGATTTCTCTTCGGTAGTATTTGCATGTAATCTTACCCATTTTTTAATTTAGTTGTTTGATCTTTATACGTGTTCCCACTCCTACTCCTATGCTTCTTATCTCCTTCTCTTGATCCATATCATTATCCCATGTTTGATCACGTTCGTTCATGCTCAATTCCATCCATATCTTTATCTCGATCATATCCCCTGTCCCTATCGCCTATCAATGAGACGTTCCCGTGTCCAATCAATATCACGTGCACGCTCATATCCCCTTCCTTATAAGATTGTTTAACCCAAATACATCAAAATGTTTTAGGATAAATAGAGTGAAGCTACTAAAAGACTACGTGGTGAGTTCATGCTAATTGATTCTCAATCCATCAGAAACGTTAAAAAAGCTTACTTTTGTACGGATTCTTAATACAGGAAACACAACTAACGATTTTAGTTCATTAATCGTAAGCTACAACTAATAATCCTGTTAATCGTAGTAAACAATCCACTAATTTTCCCCAAAAATAACGCTTAGTAGGATTGTCGGTTGTTCCTAAAAACAAATCAATTAAGATCAAATAGTACCATTCCTCTTCTTTTTCTCAATGGAAGGAATATATAGAGAGTTTGGATAAATTAACTTATAGCTTATTAGCGATAAGAGAAAGTAACTTTATATAAAAACGAAAACTGATTTGATAGAAAGCTAAAACATAGAATCATATACAAAACAAGGTTACCAATGCACACACTAAGTTTACCTTGAAGGCGATGATTTTGATGTAAAGATCGAAGACACTTCGAGTACTATCTTCGGTAGTGTCGTAAGGGAGGTTGCTAACATACACATAGTTCTCGTCATCGACTGTCATTTTGTTCACAAACACCAAAACCTAATTCACCAAAAGTGGAGAGTAGAGACCCAACTTTACATGATAATTTTTTTTGACGTTGTGTAAGCTTGTACATTGAGTACAACTTAGCAATGCATTATTAACAATAGAGTAAATTGTAACTATAGTAACTATGGTTTAGTTAAATTCACATTTTTAGCCCAAACTTCAAAAAGTTGATAGGTCGAGTCTCTACGGTTTATAATTATTGCAGTTCCGGTCCTTCCATCTAGTTTTGATAGTAAACTTATGTTAAAATTTTTAAGATGACTAACATACCCATCATACTATTTTTTTACAAAAAATTCTTTTTATTTATTTGTTGATAATAATTTATTAAGTTAAATCGACACACCATGTCCTCACCCCCTCCTACCTATATGTTTATCTGCTCCAACGATGGTGTCCCTAAGGATGATTATCTTCTCCAACAAGCCATAGCCAGTGAGTGGTTTTGTAATTTTACAACAACAACTAATGAGTAAAAAACATAACGTAGAAATCTGAAACCTAAATCGAATGATATCAGAACCTAATTCGGTAACCAAAATCAATAGAAACCTAAACAAAATGAAACTGAAATTTGAAAACAAAATCTCAATTCTCAAAAACTGATCACACTTAACTCGCCATGTCAAGACTTAGATCCAAACCAATCTAAGTCTAATGGTGATAATTTTTTAAAAGGATTATTTGCTTAGGGACTCGTATCCAAACCATGCCCAAGTTTATGAGTTTCCACCACTGAATCCTTGCAAAAGATAATGATTAATTAAAGAACTTGAATATTAATTAATTCTTAGAGATTATTTGGAATATTCCAGAAACTTATGGAGAGGTAATATGGACATTTTTGACATCCCTAGGATACCCATAAGGCATGTTTTGAATAAGATAAGGATTATCCTGAAGAGCCTGAATTCCTTAAGGATTTATTTGTACCCTATATAAATAAACTGGTAGGGGTCAAATCCTAAGTGGTGATTCCCTCTCATAATTTTATCTTTCTTTGTCTTTGTCTATCTCTCTCTTCCTCTTTCTTTCTCTTTATTTCTCTCTATCTCTCTCTCTCTATATATATATATATATATATATATATATATATATATATATATATATATGTCTTTTTCTCTCTCTTTCCCCTCTGTAAAAACTATTAACCCTCTCCTAAGGTTATAGAATTTTCACAAAACACAAGTTTAGGGTTAATCCTTGATATCTTTTGGAGTTTGTGGGTCTGACTACAATAGATGGATTCTACCTATGGTCCCTCATCCATCACAAATACTGGCATTCACAAGGTCTCAAGTAAAGAAGTTAGAGGCTAGTATTCTTCCTTTTATTTGGTTTTGAAAGTTTGTTGCTATA